CTATTGCTTGTCTTCATACATTTTTTTTGGCTGATCAGATCTCTTGTAGATCCTACGTTGGTAGCGTTTATCGTATGCGGTCCCTTGCAGTTTATGGTTACTCTTTTTAAAACCCGATTTAAACATACGAGGTCACTGTCTATTTGGTAAGGAACCAAAAGGAGTAGTTCCATACCAAAAGGAACATTTGGTAGAGAGATTGATCACATACACTGTATCAGGCAATTTCGAGTTGTGGGATAATCCGTCGTAATGAAACCCATTGCCTGGGTGTTTGATATAATTTATGACAAAGAATACATCGCTAAAATTGTAGGTAACGATTTCGTGAATCTAAGTAAAGCAGTCGGATAAGATGATTTTGTCTAAAAGATCCATGAACCAGATCTCGCCGCTAAAATGCTGTAACATGCTCAAATCCAAATATATGAGTGATTGAACTGTTTTCCTTCCCTGTGTTTAGCTCTGACGCTGCTGTCGTTCTTCCTCCCCCCTGACTCGGGTGAACGCATCACACTGGTGATCACCAGCCTCCTGGCCATGACTGTGTTTATGTTGATCGTGGCGGAGATCATGCCTGCCACTTCTGAAGTTGTTCCGCTTATAAGCATTTACTACACAGGTATCATGTTTGAGGTGAGGGAACGAGACTTCACATCTGTGCATGTACATGCAGTACATCTTGTTCAATAAACCATATCCGTATTCTCGGTATTGGATTGGAACTAGCTGCAAGTAGCTGGGACTAACTGCGGGGAGTCTTTTCAAATGCAAACTACATTTTGATCTCTTTAATGACATTTCCCCGCATGAACCTCCATTGCAAGCAGTGCCGAGAATACGAATATGGCCTATTGAATTCCCGTGATTATGATTTGTGAAAACAACTTACTTTAGCAAACGACAATCTTTGCCACAATATAGCCTTCAGAAAGTCTTGTTTGTAGCTACACATGGTAAACTTTGTCTGCACGAGCCGGGACGTTTAGGTCACGAACCAACCACAGGCGCAGAACGAATTTGCAATCAACTTCAAGTAGGGTTCAACGCAAAATAGTCTCTTTTAAAAAAGTCAAATAAATTGGAAAACTCTGAGCCAATTTAAATATTTGTCTTCTCGTAAGGAAGTTAATCGTTACTTATATTATGTTTAGGTGGGACTTGCTTTGGTTGCAACGTGCCTGGTCCTTAAATGCTATTACAACAATCCTTCAGTGTCGGAGATACCTGTGTGGGTGAGAACCATTGTCTTGAACTGGCTGGCAAAACTTGTGCGTGTCAAAGTTCCGCCAGGTCTTGTCAAAGTCATTAACAAACACTTCAAGGAGAAAGCTGAAGCCCGGGAGGAGATTGAGCACGAGCGGCGTAATTCTATCCTCCCACAATCAATCTTGAACGTTAACCAGGATAGATGTAAAAAAAGTAGCGTTATTTCCATGGGACGAAACCGTGCTATGAACAGTATATCTGAGAGACGCTTCAGTTGTGGATCAGAAGATATGTCAACTCTTGGTCTTCCGCAGTTATTTAACACACGCGCAAACAGTCAGAATTCCATTAACGAAGAACAGCCTATCAGAGAAGCTCCTCCGCCTAATGTCCCACTGTCCTTTGAGGCATCCATGAAGGAAATGCTTTTAAAGCAAGACAATTTGTTGAGGAACGTGCGAAGGCTGGTGCATGTCGCGAGAGAAAATGAAGAAAATGAGATTAAGAGGGAGGAGTGGAAAATGGTCGCCTCTGTCATCGATGCTTGCTTCTTTTGGTTGTTTATGGTAACTCTAATTGTATCCTCCCTAGTCATTTTTCTACAAGCTCCAAATTATAACGATAAAGATGTGTGACTTAGATTGATAGCAATAGTTAATAGCACCATGCTTAGTGGCCAGGAAAGTAGTTTGTATTTCGTGTAACACTAGTAGAGGTAGAGCCAACTTTTCATTGGAAACATTTGACGGTTTTTGAGAAAGGATGTTTAGGTTCATAACTAATTTTGACTTAATTGACTCAAAGTATCTACAGGCAGTCGCCACTTGTCACCTATTCAAATCCATCAGTGCTTACTGTATAAAGACATGTTTGTCGCTAGAGGAAGTATTCGTTGTATAGGACTTTGGTCGGTGCAAATAGTTTGTACTTCATGAGTCACAGAAATTGGACTACCTTTCACCTTAAAATGTTTTACAGATGCAACGAATAGTTTTAGCCGCTAGCAGGACATAACGTCTTTAATAAATTTATTCACTGACAAAACATAATTTCTGAATATAATTTGACAATTCCAATATACATGAAATATTGCAATGCCTCCATTGCAATATTTTAAAAAAAACGTTTATGAATAGTCTTCGAGTTGAATTGTTTTATTATTTTAAGTACCGTAGTATTAATCGTATGGCAAGGTAAAAGGTAAAGTCTGCATACGAGGCAAGTGGCCCGTCAGGTTTGGAGTTTATCCCGGTTTTTGTAGCATGAAGCGACTAGGAATATTGCTACTCCATCCTGGATGGCATGCTAGTCCATCGCAGGGTTACCCCCAGCATTAAATTCGCCGGTACTTATTTATACACCTGGGTGGAGAGAGGCACTGTGAGAGAAAAGTGTCTTGCCCAAGAACACAACACAATGTCCCTGGCCAGGGCTCGAACCGGAGTCAAACGCACTAATCATGAGGCCACCGTGCCTCCACATTTAATCGTATGGAGAGTAACAAAATTTGTTGTATGACTGATAAAAAAAAAAAAA